ACAACAATACAGTAATACAAAAATACTACAATACAACAATACAATAGTACAACAAAAGAACAATGCAATAATACAACAATACAATAGTAAAACAATAGAACAATACAATTATACAACAATACAATAATACAACAATAAAACAATACAATAATACAACAATAAAACAATACAATAATACAACAATACAATAACACAACAATACAACAATACAATACAACAACATTACAATACAACAACAATACAATACATCAATAAAACAATACAACAATAAAAAAAATACCATAATACAGATCGAGTGCTGAAGGAGCCAATGATGGCGCTGCTTTTCTGGCAGGATGCTCCTCCCATTGGAGAGAAAACCCGTATTTCTGTGATATTTGCGGGTCTTACTGTGGTCAGAAGGGCCTGAGATGCTAATACAACAATAATACAACAATACAATAATACGACAATACAATAATACAATAATACAACAATACAATAATACAATAATACAACAATACAACAATGCCGAAGGAGCCAATGGTGGCGCTTTTTTTGTGGCGGGATGGTCCTCTTTTGGAGAGAAAAACCATGTTTCTGTGATATTTACACAGGCCTGCTGACCGGCGTGGTGGTGGACTCCGGGGATGGCGTGACCCACATCTGCCCCGTGTACGAGGGCTTCTCCCTGCCCCACCTCACCCGCCGGCTGGACATCGCCGGGCGGGACATCACGCGCTACCTGATCAAGGTGGGCCGGCCATGCCCACTACGGGGCCCCGGCAGGGTCAAAACTCAGGATAAACTCACATACATACACATATGAGACCAAAACACTGGAAAACAGCAGAGAAAAGCTCTCACAGGAAAACATTTACCTCTTGTATGACCCACTAAAAGCTAGCTGTCTTTATTAACTCGTTGACTGCCAGAGTTTTTTGAGCATTTTGACTGATTTTTCAAGAGCCACAGAATAGTTTGTGCTATGACTATGTAAACACCGAACACACCAAAAGAAAGAGTAGACTCTCTTCTTTCATCAGGAACAAAAAAATTGTTTCTACCTTATTCCGTTCTTCCGCGACTTGCGTCTCACCGGCGCCATGTTCTCTCATAGAACCGTTACCTTTTTCTTATTTGCCTACAGTCTATGCTCATCTCCCATCAAAAGTGGCACTGCCCCCTAGAGGGTCAATTTGTTACTACATACTCTTTATAGAAGCCGATATTTACGGACAAGCTTTAGCAGATCGTCCCCCAGCCACTCTCGTTAAAAACATAAAAGACGTCTATAGACGAGCTTTTGTAGTAGGGTATATAAGAGCCCTTAATTCACATTTTGCCTCAAATAAACACACTCTCTTCCAGCTGTAATGTTGCCATCAGTCCACTCTGCACTTTCTAGATTAAGTCTTAAAAATTAGGTTGATTTCAACTATCAAATTAGCATATTTCATAAAGACATGAACTAATTAAAACAAACATTTACCTCTTATGTAACCTATTAAAAAAAGCTCTTACACAAAGTAGTGAGAAGTGTTAAATCAAACTGGTAAAAACCTTTTACACACACTAGTCTTAAAAGCTTTTAACTGGTGTGTATGAAAGCTTTTCAACTAGTTTATGTGAAAAGTTCTCAGTCATTTGTATAAGAGCTTTTTTTTGTGAGAAATATAAGAGGTAAATATAAAATATAAGAGGTAAATATCTTCAGTAGTAAATTTGAGAGCTTTTCACTGGTACATTTTCCAGTACAGTGTTTGGAGGAGTTTAATTCTAAGAGTGTGTACGGGGGTTAATTCTGATTTCTGTCCCTGACGGGGGCCCGTAAAGAGCCGTGTTTTGTCCCTGGCCTGGCCTCTGACCTTTGACCTGTGCGCTAGCTCCTGCTGCTGCGCGGCTACGCCTTCAACCACTCGGCCGACTTCGAGACGGTGCGGATGCTGAAGGAGAAGCTGTGCTACGTCGGATATAACATCGAACAGGAGCAGCGTCTGGCCCTGGAGACCACCCACCTGGTGGAGTCCTACATGGTAGGGATGGGACGGTTTCTGAAAACCGTCCGAACCGTTGGGTTGGACTGTCTCGGTTCGGTTCGCGTGTGTTGCGTTCGGTTCATGCTGCTCCTTTTTCTCAGAGGGAAGCGTTTACACTCCAGAGCAGAAGGGGGCGCTACTGCGCCCAAAGCCAACCACCAGTAGGAAACAAGAAGAAGTAGAAGCAGCGTAGCCGATAAAAATCAGACGCGCCAACAGCAGTTTATAGGTCTGCTGTATGGGACCACTTTGCATTTAGAGGGAAGCACATGTTGGAATTAGCACTGTTTCCTCTCTTGCAATGCCAGAATCTCACCTACTTTTAACCTAAGACTGTCACAATAATGTATCAAATGTCAGACTGCTTTTTTATTTCAGTTTTAACCTGACTATACAAGACATAATAGATTTTCCTAACAATCAACATATACCGAACCGAACCGTAAACCGTGACCACGAAACCGTGAACCGAACCGAACCGAACCGTGGATTTTGTGAACCGTCCCACCCCTACTACATGGTGGGAAAGTAAAAAAACTGACTTGAGTAAAAGTTGAAGTGTTCTTTCAACTCCATACTTAAGTGGAAGTACGGAATTAGTCCATTTTTTTGTACTTAAGTATTGCAAGTAGAAGTATTTCAGAAATTGCTACTCAAGTATAGGTATAAGTAAAAGTACAAGTACTGTGTATATTAAAAAAGGCAGTCAAAAGTGTGATAGATATTGTTTATATTACTTCAAACGTGTGAAAGGCCATACAGGTGTTTACAAAAAACAGAAAACTACATCTGCATTAGCAATCAACAGCACATCTACTATTATTTATTATTCCAGAGTCAGAATCATGAGATGACCCTTTATGCTAGCATGTAGCATACAGCTAGCCAGCTAGGTTAGCTTTAGTATATGTTAGCTTCTACGTCCTGAGTGAACAGGAAGAACTTAACTAACCCTTACTTACTAGCTTATATGTCATTGTATTTTTTAGCTTACAGCTAGTCAGCTATGTTAGCTTTAGCTAACGTTAGCTGCTACGTCCTGAGTGAACAAGAAGAACTAAATAGCGCTTATTTACTAGCTTATATGTCATTGTATTTTTTAACATACAGCTAGCCAGCTAGGTTAGCTTTAGCTAATGCTAGCTGCTACTTCCTGAGTGAACAGGAAGAACTGAACTAGCGCTTATTTACTAGCTTATATGTCATTGTATATTTTAATTTACCTTGATATGCTTCTTCATATTAGATGGGGAATTTTTGAAGGCTATGATTTCTCAATCTTTCGGGAGGCTTCTTTTTATAGGCTATGCTTTATCGCTCAAATCGGCCAATGAGGAGCCAGCTTCCCAAACCCTGACAGAGCTGTCTATCATTACGTTTACATATCAGTAACGAGTAACAACTCAGCCCGTGAAAGTATTTTTATTTATTTATTTAATTAGGACAGTGCACATTAATGAACAATCTCAT